CGGTCGCAATCGACAGTGGCTTCTCCGCTCCGTCTTCACAGCTGGCGTCATCGTTAGGGACTGGGAAAAGCTCGCTCGGCTTTCCCGTGAGGTAACGCAGCCCCCCGAGGGAGAAAGGCTTGGACAGCAGTAAGAAACCTCGGCACCGGCTGAGCCCCCTCGGGCGCCGGGCTGAGCCCCCTCGGCAAAGGATAATCCTCGGCAAGTCGCCGTGCGGTTTCTCCGGTCGAGAATTCGGCTCTCCCTTAGCTTTGGCACAGCAATCTCTGGCACTGAGACTTAAGCTCAAAGTCCAAAATTGCTTAACCCCGGTCCAGCCCGAACTCCCCACCACGCGACGCTCTCGTACCCCCTTTCCTCCAGGCTTTCGCCCCGGCTCGTGCCCCGTAACTCACCGCTTGCTCCCAGGGAAAGGTGGCGGGCACCAACGTCGGGATGTTCACCGGTCTCAGCCCTCCCGGCTCCGCTAGCGCCTGACTCAAGGCTTTTCAGCCCACGCCGAGACGTGCCGTCGCCCCGGCGGCGGGTGGAGGCAGGTTGGCATCCTTGGATCGTCCTGCCCGGGGTGTCCTCGGGGTGGTGACGGGCCGAGCGTCTCCCGGGACCTCCCACCTCTTGTCTCCTACAGAGAGGAGCAGAGGGGACGTAAAGCTTGCTATACGTTCTCCAGCCAAAAAAAACCCCGAGAAATGCTCACGCAGCGAGGAAGGGTCCCGTGTGAAAATAAAAGCCAGAGGAAGCGCTCCACGCCGATACGCCAGCTCAAAGCCAATTTAATTTTTGCAGTACTCGCCACTGCTGACCTTGCTCTATCCCCTCCAGCGCGGGGAGGTGGGCGCCGCTCCAGCCTTCGTACCCCCGTGTCCCCTAACCCAGGTGGCAAAAAGGGGGATTGGAGGCAGAAAGGTCCCACTTGAAAGGCTCGGTTGCTTTTCCAGGACAAATCTTTAAAAAAAAAATATATATATATATAACCAAACCCGAGGCCAAAGCTGCTGCTGGTGCCAAGTGACAGAAGCAGCAGAAAAAACTATTTCTGGGCTCAAGAGCCGGAGGGCGATGCCAGATTTTCCCCGTTGCGTTAAGAGGCAGAGCAATTTGGCAGAAACTAAACCCCCTCGCTTTCCAGTCGACCCTCAGGTATCAGAGGGACCGGGGGCGGCTGAGCTTAGGTTCCGAGTGATGCCCAAAGTCAGCGTTAGTAGCCCGGGTGCGCCCAACGCCTCCGCTGGACCATCACGCGTCCGGATGCGGTACGAACATCGCACGACCCGCTCAGCCGGACGCGTCCTGAACTCACGCGGCCGCGCTCAGAGGTACGGTCGCGTTCGGGGACAACACACACACACAGCTGGTTTATACCAGATTTATACCCGATTATACACACCAATAGTGCCATTTATTGAAGCAACGGGCACGTGGGTTCTTCGGGTTGCCGGCGAGAAATTCGCTGCCTACAAAGCACGTGCAAACGCCAAAAATAGGAGTAACAGCATTAAAAGATGTAAAGTGACTCTATAGAGATTTCTGAGTTTCCCGGGGAGGCACTTGGTATGACCAAGTGTTCGAATCTTACCCGACGGCGTCCCGATGTGGGGAACAGAAG